TTTTTTTTTCTTAAGATTTTATTTACTTCAGAGAGGGAGAGAGAAAGAGAGAGAGCATGAGTCGGGGGTAGGGGGAGAAGCAGGCTCTCTGCTGAGCAAGGAGCTGGATGTGGGACTCAGTCCCAGGACCCTGGGATCATGACCTGAGCCAAAGGCAGTTGCTTAACTGACTGAGCCACCCAGGCACTCCCAGATCTTCAATTCTTCTATGTAAAATAGAAATAGCTTTCTTCCAGGATGGTTTACCCCTCCCTTTTTATAGTAAAATGTACAAAAAAATTATCATTTTAGCCATTTTTAAATATATGGTTTTGTAGAATTAAATATATTCACATTGTTGTTCAGCCCTCACCACCATCCATCTTCAGAACCTGCTTTCATCTTCCTCAACTGAAACTCTGTACTCAACAAACACTAACTCATCAACTCCCTCTCCACCTCCATGAGTCCCTGCACCAACACAATGCAATTATAAACATGAGTGTACAGATATTTGTTTTGAGTCCCTGCTTTTATTTCTTTTGGGTATTTACCCAAAAGTGGAATTCTGGATCATATGGTAATTCTAGGTTTAGTTTTTTAGGAACTGCCATACTATATTCCATAGAGCTACTCCATCTTACATTCCTGCAAGCAGTATACACAAGGATTCCAATTTCTCCACATCTTTGTCAATACTTGTTATTTCCTGGGCTTATTGTTGTTGTTGTTGTTTGTTTTATTAGCCATCATAATGCATATGAAGTGGTATCTTGTGGTTTTCATTTGCATTTCCCTAATGATTAGTAATGTTGAACATCTTTTCATGTACTTATTGGCTATTTGTATGTCTTCTTTGGAGAAATGCCTATCCAAGTTCTTAGCCCATTTTAAAAATTGGATTGCTTGTTTTGTTGTTGTTGAGTTGTAGGAGTTCTTTATATACACTGGATATTAATCCCTTATCAGATATATGATTTGCAAGTATTTTCTCCCATTCCATGGTTGCCTTTTCACTACTGATCATGTCCCCTGATGCACAAGTTTTAATTTTGATGAAGACCAATTTATCTTTTCTTTTGTTGTCTTTGCTCTTGGTGTCATCCCTAAGAATTCACTGCTAAATTTAATGTCATGAAGCTATTCCCCTATATTTTCTTCTAAGAATTTTATAGTTTTAGCTCTTACATTTAGGTCTTGGATCCATTTTGAGTTAATTTTGTAGACAGTGTAAGACAGGGTCCAATTTCTAGGCTTTTTGCATGTAGATATCCAATTTCCCCAACATCATTTGTTGAAAACATTGCTCTTTCCCATGTTGAAAATTATTTGACCAAATATGTAAGTTGATTTTGGGATTTCTATTCCATTTCATTGGTCTATATCTCTTTTCTTTATGCCAGTACCACACTGTTTTGATTACCATAGCTTTGTAGTTTTGACATCCAGAATGTGGAACCGCCAGCTTTGTTCTTTTTTTCAATATTATTTTGGCTATTTGGTGTCCCTTATGATTCCATCTAAATTTTTGATGGCCTTTACTATTTCTGCAAAAAATGCCATTGGGATTTTGATAGATATTGTGTTGAATCTGTAGATGACTTTGGGTAGCATTGACATCTTAATAATATTGCCTTCCAATCTATGAACAGGGCTCATTGTAGCTTTGATTTGCATTTTCCTGATGACTAATGATATTGAGCATTATTTTTCCTGTGCTCACTGGCTATTTGTGTATCTTTCTCAAAGAAATATCTCTTCAGACCCTTTCCCTCATTTTTTTCTTTGCCCATTTTAAACTGAGGTTGTTTTGTTGTTCTTGTTGTTGAGTTGTAGTTCTTCATATATTTTGTATACAAGTACCTTATCAGATATATTATTTGCAAATATTTTCTCACATTTAATTGGTTGTCTTTTTATTTTCTTGAAAAGTGACTTTTTTTAAATAAAGATTTTATTTATTTATTTGACAGAGAGAGCACAAGCAGGGGGAGCAGCAGGCAGAGGGAAAGGGAGAAGCAGGCTCCCTGTGGAGCAGGGAGCCCAACGGGGGGCTCAATCCCAGGACCCTGGGATCATGACCTGAGCCAAAGGCAGACAAATAACCGACTGAGCCACCCAGGCACACCTCAATGAGTTTTGATACATTTATGTACTCATGTCACCACCCCTACAGATGAAACACAAAACATTTCTATCTCCTGGAATTTCCTGTGTGTCCCATCATGTTCAGCCCTTCCCCCTCTGCTGGCTCCAGGATAGAACTCTGCTTTTTTCCTAGAAAGATTAGAATTTATTTTCCAGAGTTTCATATAAATGGAACCATACAATATAGTATATACCTTTTTTTAAAAGATTTTATTTTAAGATTTTATTTATTTACTTGAGAGAGAAATCAGGAGTGGGGGAGAGGGGCAAAGGGAGAAGCCGACTGCCTGCTGAGCAGGGAGCCGGACCTGTGGCCTGATGCTGGGCTCGATCAGAGGATCGTGAGATCATGACCGGAGTTGAAGGCAGATGCTTAACTGACTGAGCCATCCAGGCGCCCCTCCTTTTCTTTTTCTTGACAGTGTCTTTAGTTTTTGTGTGTTTTTTAGGGTCTTTAATTTTTTAAAAATGGTTTATGTACTATTTAAGAAATCTTTCACCCAATATCTAACTGGTTCTTCTTTTAATAAACACTATACAGAGGGGATTAAAAAGAAAAGAAAAAGAAATCTTTGCCTAATCCATGGTCATAAATATTTTCTCTATATTTTCTTCCAGAAGTTTTATAGTTTCAGCATGTATGTTTAGGTCTTTAATCTATTTGTTTGTTTGTTTTGTGGGGGTTTGTTTTGTTTTGGTATGTGGTATGAGGTAAGGGTCAGGGTGAATCATTTAACTGTAGCATCATTTGTTGAAAAGAATATCCTTTCCCCTATTAAATTCCTTTGGCACCTGGTAAAAAGCCAGTTGTGTGTTTATTTCTAGGCTCTCTATCCCATTCCACTGATCTGTATTATCCTTACATCAAAAACACACTATCTTTTTTATTTTTTTAAATTTTTATTTATTTTATTTATTTTTATTTTTAAAAGATTTTACTTATTTATTTGACAGAGAGACACAGCGAGAGAGGGAACACAAGCAGGGGGAGTGGGAGAGGGAGAAGCAGGCTTCCCGCGGAGCAGGGAGCCCGATGTGGGGCCTGATCCCAGGACTCTGGGATCATGACCTGAGCCCAAGGCAGACGCTTAACCAGCTGAGCCACCCAGGCATCCCCCCCAAAAAAGCACACTATCTTGATTACTATAGCTTTATAATAAATCTTGAAATCAGAAAATGGCTTATCTCAACAGAAGTTCATTCAATTCCTGCAAGTTTGTTCTTTTTCAGAATAATTCTGGCTATTCTAGGCCCTTTGCATTTCCATATACATTTTGGAATCATTTGTCAGTTTCTTCACACATGCAAAAACAAAAAAAATGAAAACAACCTGCTGGAATTTTGATTGGGACTGATTGATTTGGAGAGAATTGGCATCCTAACAGCAATGATTCTTTTAATGTATGAAGATGGTATTTCTCTCCAACTAGTTAGGTCTTCTTTAACTTTCCTCATCAGTGTTTTATAGTTTTCTATGTTCAAGTCTTAAGTTTTATTAAATTTACTGCTATGTGTTCATTTAAAAAACTCTATTGTAAATGCTATTTAAAAATGTCAAGTTCCAATTGTTTATGTCTGGAATATAAAAATAGAGTTTTGTATATTGACTTTGAGTTCTGTGACCTTGCTGAATTCACTTAGGATTTCTAGTAGCTTTTTTTTTTTTGTAGATTCCTTAAGATTTTCCACATATACAATCATGCCATCTCTGAATAAATACAATGTGTAAGCTTTTAATTTCATTTTCTTGCCTTCTTGCAGTGATTAAGACCTCCAGGACAATGTTGAGTAGAAATGGTAAGGGCAGACAGTCTTGCCTTGTTCCTGACCGTAGGAGGAAGGCATTCAGTCCTCCAAGTGTCATGTTAGTGCTGTTTTTCATAGATGCCCTTTATCAGATTGAAGAAATTCCCTTCTATTCCTAGTTTGCTGAGAGTTGGATAGGTATTGAATTTCCTCCTGTGGGTTGTTTTTTGTTTTTTTTTTTCCTGCACATGTTCATTGTCTGTGGCCATATGATTTGCTTTGGACAGTAAAATGTGAATGCGAGTCACAGGGAAGGAGCTTTAAGAGCCAGTGTGGGATCTGGTACATTATGTTTCCACTGCTTGCAGGACTGGTAGAAGCTCCTGTTGGAATGAAGCACTGGGCATAAATGTGAGCAAGAAATGAACTTCTGTTGAGATAAGCCAAGAGATTTAGGGGTTTTTCATTAGTGCATCATAGCCTAACAGAGAAGATCTTGCCTTCAGGACAAACTTCTTGACTTCATTCTAGTGCAAGAGAAACAGATAAACAAATATACATTATAATGTCAGGTAGAGATGAGTACAACAAAGAAAACAAAGCAGATACAATGAGATACAGGGATAGAGGAAGTTTTAGCTTTAGATAAAGGTAATAGGGAAGGCCTCCTTGAAAAGTTAACAGTTGAGCTGAGACCCGAATAAAGTGAGGGAGGGAGCCATGAGGTATCTGGTGGAAGGGTGCTCCAGTTAGACAGCCAAGTGCTGCTCTAAGACAGGAACTCCAGACTCTCCTGGCCATGGAGGATTGGGACAAAGCTGAAAAAGCTGTCCACAAGGCGAGGAGAGAGAAGGATACATATATCCAGTGGCCCCTGTGGCCCATTCTGGTTCTGTGGGGACCATAGGCAGTGGCTGGACAGTAGACAACTTGTTGGCAAAGGTCTTGCCAGACGGTTTAGAAAGCACTGTCCCTTGAGTCTTGAGATTCTGAACAGTGGGGCAAAGAAGAAAGAGGGAGTAACTGATTTTTTTTTTCTGACATTCAGGCATAGAGGCATGTTTTCTCTGAGAAAAATAATGTGACTGACCTTTGTGAGACAGTCCATGACCATTATTTTCCTGAAAGTTATTCTCCACCTTAAAGCTCATCAACAGCTTGCTAGGGTCCTTAGGAAGAAGCCCAAATTCTTTTTTTTTTTTTTTAGATTTTATTTATTTACTTTTGCAAGAGAGAGAGAAAGAGAGAGAACAACCAGGGGGAGGGGAAGGGGCAGAGGGAGAAGCAGGCTCCCCGCTGAGCAGGGAGCCTGATGTGGGGCTCGATCCCAGGACCCTGGGATCCTGACCTGAGCTGAAGGCAGACGCTTAACGACTGAGCCACCCAGGCGCCCACCCAAACTCAATTCTGTTGACTAGCTCTGTCACAGAATTCTGCTTCAGTCACACTGGGTTCCTGCACTGGGCCCTGCTTTCTCTGAGCCTGTGCAAAGGGTGTTCTTTCTGTTGGGAACACTTCCTCCCTTGTCCTGGTTAACATCCCTCAAACTTGCTTTAAATGTCAGTCTTCCTGGGAGTCTTCCCAGACTAGCTTAGGTGCTTCTGTCAAATGCTATCTTAGCATATTGTTCTTCTACCAACATAGCACTCATTGTACAAAGCACTGTATTGTAGCTTTAAAAAATTGGTAATTCAGACATACAGAGAAGTATAAAAAAAATAATATGGGGGGGGGCGCCTGGGTGGCTCAGTTGGTTAAGCGACTGCCTTCGGCTCAGGTCATGATCCTGGAGTCCCGGGATCAAGTCCTGCATCGGGCTGCATCGGGCTGCATCGGGCTCCCTGCTTGGCAGGGAGTCTGCTTCTCCCTCTGACCCTCTCCCCTCTCGTGCTCTCTCTTTCTCATTCTCTCTCTCAAATAAATAAATAAAATCTTTAAAAAAAAATAATATGGGGGGCCGGCGCCTGGGTGGCTCAGTTGGCTAAGCATCCACTGGGAGCCTCCTTCTCCTTCTCCCTCAGCCTACCGCTCCCCCTGCTTGTGCTCTCTCTCTCTCTGACAAATAAATAAAATCTTTAAAATATGTATATATATATATAGGGATCACCCATATGCCTATCACCCCAGTTAAGCAATGAAACATTGCCCCCTGAAGTCCACTGTGATGACATTTTGCTCCCTCCCTACTCCAAACCATTACTTGAATTTAGTGTTTATCTTTCCATGTATGTCTCTATACTTTTTATTACGTGTGCATATATACCTAAACAACATACAGTATTGTTTTTCTTGGCTTTATCCTTTATCAGTTATTACAAAGGTTATTTGTGCCAACTTGCATTTTGCCCTCAACCTTGTTTTTGTGACTCATCCATGTTGATACAGGTAACCCTAGATCATTTCTACAGCTGTATATACTATGCCACAATTTACCCATTTGTTTAGAGTGTTTACAGGTTTTTGAAATTCCCCAGCACCCTGCTGCAAGCATTACTGAATGTGTCTCATACGTACGAGTTTCCCCGGGTATACAGGAGTGCCTCTAACTTTGTATCAGAGACTGACGAGCTTCAGAGTGGTGGTACCCCATGGTGGCTTTGGCGGCGCATCTCTCCCTCTGGAGGGTGAACGCCTTGGGGGCTGGGACTCCGCCTGTCTTGCTTACCATGGCATTTCCAGAACTGGGGGCAGAGGACACGAACGCCCGTTTGTACGGTGAGTGACTGGACCCAGGAACTGAGCAGACTGTGGCTCAGGGCAGTGGCCAGAGACCGGGGAGCCGTGGCTCGTGGGCCGCAGACGGCCGCTCCCCGCGGGACAAAGAACACGGCGCGCTGGGAGCGGATCCGGCTCTTCACCGTGCCCGCGTCCCCCAGCGCGCCGAGCTGGCTGCCCGGCCCGACGCCGGGGCAGCCCCCCGCCCCCCGGCCCTCCAGCGCTGGCGGCCCCGCCCCCGCGGGTGAGTCAGGCGGCGGCGGTGACGGCGGCCGGGAGGGAGGCGATGACGGGCGCGCGGCCGTGCGCCGCGGAGAAGCGCAGGGCCCGGGAGCACGGCGGCGGTGGCGGCGGCGGCGGCAGAGGAGCGGCGGCCGAGGCGGCGGCGGGCGGCATGAACGGGCCGCGGGGCGCGGGCCGGGCGCTGGCCGCGCTGCTGCTGGCGGCGTCGGTGCTGAGCGCCGCGCTGCTGGCCCCCGGAGGCTCCCCGGAGCGCGACGCCGAGACCGCCCCGCCGCGAGGTGAGTGCGGGCCGCGGCTCCGGCCGGGGCGGCTCGGCGGACACCGCGCCGCTGCGCCCCGCTCCCGCCGCGCGGGTTCCGCTGGGGGGCGCGGCCAGCTGCGGGCCGCGCGACTGTCCCCTCCCCCGGGGCGACGCACCGCCCCCTCCCGGCCGGGGCAGTGCCGCGTGCGAGCGCTCGGGAAAAAGCCCGTCTCCGGAACTAGTTTCTGTTTCCTTTGCGTTGTAGTGTGCGCCCCCGGGCCGGGAGTCTCTCGGTGTTGGCGCAGACACCGCGCGGGTTAGCCTCGCGGCCTTGGGGGACTGGTGCCGTGGAGGGGCCCGACCCCCACGTCCAAAAAGCGCCCCCCCGACGGGAAACGCGGGAGGGCCGCGAGCCGCCGGGAGAGCCGCCGAGCAGGGCACCTAGGGGCCGCCCCGCGCCTCCCCGCTTCCCCCGGCCGCCCGCACGCCCCGAGCAGGGCACCTAGGTCTCCAGGCGACTTCTGTCTTACAGTAGAATGCCTTCGGTGGGGAGACCTGTTACTCCCCCAATGCAAAGCTAAATAAGAGACGGGCTGGCCAAGAGAGGGGTGTATCCGATGTCCAGTCCTCCCCGAGCTTACTGTTTGCGGGGACTTGTGCGCAAACGAAGTCCGTTCCGCGAAGAGGACAGAGGACTTGGTTTGTGGCCTGGTGCGCGGGGGGGGGAAAGCTGGGAAGCTGGAGCGCGGGCCGCTGCTCTGCCAGGCGGCCGTGGTTGCGGGGCACGCAGCGCCGCAGCCCCGACCCGCAGCTGCGCGGGGGAAAGGCTCCCGCCGCGCCGGCACGGAACTCCCGAGTAAACGTCCGACGAAGAATAAAAACTCAGCTAGCTGGGCGCGGGGAGGGTGTTGATCGCAGGAGCTGGTTGTCGAAACTCGAAGCCCAGTCTCGAGCGCCCTTCGGCACGTTTTACGGCTAAGGTGATGCGAGGGACAGTTGAGGCCTGGGTTTGCTGGCGCCCTGCGGTTTGCTGGGAAGCCACGGCACACGGTTGTTGGCCTGGGAGGGGCGGCGCGGGGTGTCTTTGCTGCGGGTGATTCTACTGCGGGGCTGGGAGTGTGGGCACTCAGCTCCTCTGGCGTTTTCCTCATTTGCCTGGTCCCCCAAGACCCCGGGGGAAATGGTGAAAAATACTCCCCTAGAGACCCCGAAACGGGAATTCCAGGGCCCCAGGAGATGATAGTCCCCCGCTCCTCCCCAGGGGACGCTTTGTTCAGGGATTGTGGGATCAGTCAACTGTAACAAACCAAACACTATTTGGTCAGGGTTTGGGGAAAGGTCTGCCTATCCCCTGCCTCTCTCCCCGCCCCCATCCCCTTTTCTGTATCAGAATAGGGGGGTTTGGGCGTCAGTGCGTGTAGTTCAGAATGCTCCTGTTCCCAAACAGAGTCTTGTAGGGCAAGGACAAAATGAATTTTGAAAAACCATCTTAGAAGATTACATTTTGTATTACTGCCTCCCCCACCCCTGACTCTGTCCCCTCTACTCCCCTTTTGTATTGGAGGAAACGGACCCTAAGAGGTTACGTAATCAGGCCAATCATAAGTTGTCAGGGACAGATCTCGTGCAATGCTTTTTCTTTGTATTTTAGCACCAATTAATAGCGGTATTTATTTTAGAAAAAGGTGGTTTGTAAGTAGTAATTCTGTGGAGTGAGGAATAACATATTAATATTCTTAAGTGATCTACTCCAGAACCTTCATGAGGCTGTGCTGAGAGGACAGCTAGGCTTTTAGTGCCACCTGGAGTCCAGGTTTGGGCTGGACAACTTCCTGCTAAGAACTCCATTTTCGTTTGATTTGAGGACCCAAGTTTACTTAGAAAAAAAAAAGACAATGTCTTTGAAAATTTGTCACACAAAGATACTCATGAGCAGAGAGGTAGAACCAGAAATTAAAGATTTGGAAACAAAATAAAAGTCTAATATACAAACAGCCCAGTTACTCGGGCATTATTGAAAGGTGATTTTATCTGGGTTATGTCCTCATCAGGACACTGTAGACAGGGGAGGAGGAGAGAATCGTTGTTTTGAATATAATGCTCCTTGAGTGTTGCCCTGGTATTTCTAAGGTCATCAGTATCAGAAATTGGCAACTTTTTCTTGAAACTGAGCATCAAGTTCGATTTAGATGTCATAGTGGATCGCTTGGGAGTTGCATCCTTATGATGATTATTAAGGCCTGTTAAAGGGGCGCCTGGGTGGCTCAGTGGTTAAGCGTCTGCCTTCGGCTCAGTTCATGATCCCAGGGTGCTGGGATCGAGCTCCGCATCGAGCTCCGCATCGAGCCCCGCATCGGGCTCCCTGCTCTGCGGGAAGCCTACTTCTCCCTCTCCCACTCCCCCCCGCTTGTGTTCCTTCTCTTGCTGTGTCTTTCTCTGTCAAATAAATAAAATCTTAAAAAAAAAAAAAAGGCCTGTTAAAGTCTGAAATTCGTATGGAAGTTGAAGCATAAATCAAGAACTTTACTCAACCCACTACTAAAGACTTAGGAATATGAATAAAAGCATTACTTATTCCAACTATGAAGGGATGATGATATGTAAAACAATTACAGAGAAAAAAGGTCAGTAAATAGTGACTATAAATTTGAAAATGAAAACTATCAAAACTGAACAAGGGGAACTAAAAAGAACTATTTGAAAACATGGCGTGACAGGTATGACAGAGGACTTAACATCTGTGCTATGTAAAGAAATGATACAAATCCTAAGAAGAGCCTCAAGATGGAAGGGGTGTTAAAGAACAAAAACTCATCTGGGTAAATGTAAAGATCAAATTGGCTTTATTCAATAATTAATGAATCGGCCAGTATCATCTAGCAGATAGAAAGGAGCTCCCTCAAGCTGCAGAGCAGGAAAGGTTTTAAAAGGCAGAGAGGG